GAGACAGAGTCTTATTCTGTCACCCTGGGTAGAGTGCTGTAGCATCATAGCTCATGGCAGCCTCAAACACTTGGGCTTGAGCAATCCTCTTGCCTCAGCCTCCTGAGTAGCTGGGACTAGGCGCCCACCACAGTGCCTGGATAGTTTTTTGTATTTTGGTAAAGATAGGGTCTAGCTCTAGCTCAGGCTGGTCTTGAACTCCTGAGCTCAAGCAATCTACCCACCTCAGCCCCTCAGAGTGCTAGGATTATAGGCATGAGCCACTGGGCCTGGCCCTAAGATTTTTGGTTTATTTTCACTGTTTTTAAAATCAGAATTCTCATTTCCAAATTAAAGAATGAAATAAGATTGATTTTAAATGATGTTGATTATAGCAAACTTAAATTCAAAGTTCAATCCTAACATAGGTAATCAATATTAATAAATGGTAAAATAGAAAAATCCTAATGTTTCTCTAGTTATTGCAACTTAAATTGAATAAATATCTTGGAACTTAATTCTGGCCTACTTATAAAACATTAATATTTGACACTTAAAATTAAAGACTGTCACTATGAAAGATTCTTTTACCTAGCATGGGTTTACAAACGCAGATGCTTTTTCTTTTTATTACAGTTTATATGCCTGTTTTTGACCTTTTAAGCTTGATATTTTTGAAGTATGTTTTAGGAATTCTTTTTTTTTTTTTTTTGAGACAGAGCCTCAAGCTGTCCCCCTGGGTAGAGTGCCGTGGCATTACAGCTCACAGCAACCTCCAACTCCTGGGCTCAAGCGAATCTCCTGCCTCAGCCTCCCAAGTAGCTGGGACCACAGGCGCCCGCCACAACACCCAGCTATTTTTTGGTTGCAGCCGTCATTGTTTGGTGGGTCCGGGCTGGATTTGAACCCGCCACCTTAGGTGTATGTGGCTGGTGCCTTAGCCACTTGAGCCATAGGCGCCGAGCCTGTTTTAGGAATTCTTTTGCTTTTATTTGCTTCTCCCCAAGCCCCACTCTTTGTTCTTACAGAGCGTTTTTTCTGTGGGACTGTAGGTGGAGGAAAACAAAATAAAAGCAAAACTGCTAGCATGTCAGACGCAGTTAAGGGCTATGGAGAGGGAAAGAGCAGAGAATAAGGATGGGAATGCTGATGGAGTGGGGGGTTGCTGTTGTAAATGGAGTGGTCATTGGGAAGGCGTCACTTTACAAAGAGGTACACTTTGCAGAGGCCTGAAGTGGGTGAATGACTCAGCCAGAGCAGTCCAGACACAGGGAGGCGCAAAAGCCCCTGAGCAAGACTAGGCCTGGTGTGTTTAAGGGGGAGGGAAGTGAATGAAGGGGCAAGCAGAGGGAATGAAGGCAGAGAAGTCAGAAGGTAGAGAAACTGTGGCAGATTAGATTGGATCCATTACAGGGACTTTGGCTTTTACCAAAGTGAGTGAGATATGGGGACCACTGGGAGGTTTGAGCAGATGAGCAAATAGACCTTCTTCATTTTCCTGCTTGTCTCGTCTCTGCCACCGTTCTGCCACTCATTCTGGCCTCACGTCTAAAAAGTACCTTTTATTTGTCCTCGGTGCTCAGTCACACAGCAGCACTGCAATTCTTCTATCAGATTGTTTTGTATCACTCCTTGTCTCTGTTGTCACCTTAGAGTCCTCATTCTAATCACATCACTCCCAAATTACTAGAGAAGCAGACACAGCTTCACGAGAGTTGCAGGTTGGCAAATTGTGGTATAAAGGAATACATTTTTTACAAAGCTGTTATAACAAAATAGATTTTCTTACGAAGTCATTAGCTCCTTGTCACTGGAAATACTCAAGCAAGTTGAATGCCTTTCCCTGAGTGAGATGTTGTAGTACTTGGCCTCATAGGCTTTTTGCAACTACAGTTCCACAGACTCAGCTGTGATAGCCTGGTCTTCTTGACAGTCATCTCTCCCCGTTTCATGCATCCTGATTATACTGACACATTCTGTTTTTTTAAATACTACTTGCGTCATCCTCTTGTCCAGCAACTCCTTAATGGTGCCACACTATGATTTAGAAAGCCTTGAATTCCTTCCTGTATTCAAGGGCCTCTTCAGCCCATGAGTGCAGCCTTGTCTACGCTCCTCTCTGTTTTAGAAGGGCTTGTAGACTGCTGTCCAAAAAACATCCCATACTTACCTCAAAACCTAAATCTTTGTTTGTTCTGTGCCTGCAATTTTAAAAAAGTTCAAGTATTTAAAAATAAACAGGTTGGATGCAGTGACTCACGTTTATAATCCTAGCACTCTGGGGAGCAGAGGCAGGAGGATCCCTTGAGCTTAGGAGCAAGACCCCATCTCTACTAAAAAATGGAAAAATTAGGCTCGGCGCCTATAGCTCAACTGGCTAAGGCGCCAGCCACATATACCTAAGGTGGCGGGTTCGAATCTCCAGCCCGGACCCGCCAAACAACAATGATGGCTGCAACCAAAAAATAGCCAGCGTTGTGGCGGGCGCCTGTGGTCCCAGCTACTTGGGAGGCGGAGGCAGGAGACTCGCTTGAGCCCAGGAGTTGGAGGTTGCTGTGAGCTGTAATGCCACAGCACTCTACCCAGGGGGACAGCTTGAGGCTCTGTCTCAAAAAAAAAAAAAAAAGGAAAAATTAGCTCAGCATTGTGGTGGGTGCCAATAGTCCTAGTTACTGGGGGGGTGGAGGGTTGAGGCAGGAGCTTGAGCTCAGGAGTTTGAGGTTGCTGCGAGCAAGGCTCATGCCATGGCACACTAGCCTGGACAACAGAGTGAGAGTCTGTCTCAAAAATGATAATAATAATAATATAATAATAATAATAATGATCTGGTATGAAAATGAAAGATTTAGCTGAAATAAGGTAGCCATGGTTAGTAATAGTTGAAGGTGGGTGATGGGTCCACAGAGGTTCTTTATGCATTTCTTTGCTATGTTTTAAAATTCCCCAGATAAAAAGGTTCTTTAAAGAAAATCCACCTTTAAAAGTTGTTAAAAATCACAAAGCATAAACATTTGTTATTTCTAAGTGGAAGATTATGTAAACATTATTCTCTATCTTTTTTAACTTCCCAAAATGAAAGAAGGAAGGGAAAGGAGGAAGAAGAAAAAGAGAAAGAAAGAGAAAGAGTCTCCACTGTCTCTTGTGTCTCTTCTGTTTGGTGAAACACAACTAACCCTTGCACACTGCTTTAATACCAACTGAAATGTAATGCCTTTGAAGAGATTTGAAGTTATTACAAGGAACAATTTCTAATAATTAAAGCTATTCATTAGCAGACATGGTTCCTGTCAGGTAGTTATTGCTGTTCCTCGGAGGGGGCTAATTGATCTCTGGGGTCACTCACAACTCTGAATCTATAAACTGGACCTGTTAGTTCATGTCATTCCTTCCTTTTTGTAACTAAGAATGATAGCAATCTCCTTTAGCTTTTATAAAATTGGTTGCTAAATAAAAAGTTATTCCTTTAACAAATAGTTATGGACGGCCTAGGGAAGTAGAATAGTATGATTACAGTGTAGTAAGGGAACAGGGTGGCAGGAAGAGAGGTGGCTGAAGAAATAATTACTGATAAATAACTAAGCTGTATTCAAAGGCCTTCAAGTATAGAAGAAAGAGTTAACTCTGGGAAAGTCAGAGAACTTCACAGAAGTAGTGATACATGTACTGATTCTTAACAAGCCTTTAAACAAAAATGAATTGATGGGTCACCCTTGAGCAACAATAGTTGTGTGGCACCTCCATACGGTGGACCTCAGTAGAGATGTCAAATAGAAAAGGAGGTTCTCTGCTTGTAAAGCATGTGAAACTGTCTCTGCAAGATAATATTAGGTGAATAAAACCAGACTGCAGAAATATGAATGAACAATTTTTGTGACTTTTTTTTTTGGAATGTCATCAGGAAGTGTTTATTTAAATGGTCTTTTTTTTTTTTTTAATTTCAGTTAATGTGAGGGTACAACCAGGCCACAATATTTGAATTTGTTAGGTAGACTCCCTCTTATAGTTGTGTCCTGCACCTAAAAGGTATGCCATAGACCCCTACATTGTGCCCATTAAGTGGGAGCACCCTAATGCTCCCCCTTTCTCCCCCTCCTTCAGGTTACATAGTTTTTTTTGACTACATCTTTCAGGAATTTATTTGGCTACCTATTAACGGGCTCTAAAAAACAGTGGCTTGTGCTCACTTTGGCAGCACATGTACTAAAATTGGAACGATACAGAGAAGATTAGCATGGCCCCTGCGCAAGGATGACACGCAAATTCGTGAAGCGTTCCATCTTTTTAATTTCTCTTTGAAAAAAAACAGTGGCTTAAAGCAGTACAGTGTATATCTCAGATAATAAGAAATCTTGTAGTGGACATATCTAAGTTGGTGTCGTCCTCAAAAAAGTCATCTAGGGCCCAAACTTCTCCTTTTTTTTGTTCTGCCATCCTTTGGTTGGAAGCTCATCTCTGTGATCCTTAAGTCTCTACTCTGCCTGCTGAGGTATACACCAGTAGAATCTCTTCCCTTATATCAGGAACTCAGTAGATTTCTCAGAAACTACCTACTAGACTTGTGCTTATACTTCATTGGCTAGACTTTGTCACATGATCACATCTAGCTGAAGGGGGTTCTGGGCAAGGGATTTTTTTTTTTTTTTAAGAGACAGAGTCTCCTTTTATTGCCTCGGTAGAATGCAGTGGCATCACAGCAACCTCCAGCTCTTGGGCTTAAGCAATTCTCTTGCCTCTGCCTCCTGAGCAGCTGGGACCACAGGTGTCCATCACAATGCCTGGCCATTTTTTGTTGCAGTTTGGCCGGGGATGGGCTTGAACCCGCCACCCTTGTTATATGGGGCCGGCGCCCTACTCACTGAGCCACAGGAATTGCCCACAAGTGAATATTTTTAAGGGAAGGCATTGCCACTCCAAATATAATCAAAGGTATTTTAGTAGTAAGAAATGAAAGAAAGGATATGCAGCTAGCAATGTCTGCTGTCCTAATTTCTGAAGCTTAAGACACTAAAAAATTTGGAGACATGTTGGAGGAAAATGGACAGATGAAAAACAGGTAAAAATTATTTAACATGTAATTGGAAGACAATGATTTGGTGATGGCTCAGTGCCTGTGGCTCAAGTGGCTAAGGCGCCAGCCACATACACCTAAGGTGGTGTGTTTGAATCCAGCCCGGGCCACCAAACAACAATGACAGCTGCAACGAAAAAATAGCCAGGCGTTGTGGCGCCTGTGGTCCCAGCTACTTGGGAGGCGGAGGCAGGGACTCGCTTGAGCCCAGGAGTTGGAGGTTGCTGTGAGCTGTGATGCTATGGCACTCTACCCAGGGCAACAGCTTGAGGCTCTGTCTCAAAAAAAAGAAAATGATTTGGTGAAAAATTTTTTTAGGCTCAGTGCCTATAGCTCAGTGGCTAGGGTGCCAGCCACATACACCAGAGGTGGAGGGTTCTAACCCAGCCCAGGCCTGCCAAACAATCATAACAGCTACAAACAAAAAACAGCCAGGTGTTGTGGCAGGTGCCTGTAGTCCCAGCTACTTGGGAGCCTGAGGCAAGAGAATTGCCTAAGCCCAGGAGTTGGAGGTTGCTGTGACCTGTGATGCCATGGCATTCTACCAAGGACAGTAAAGTGAGACTCTGTCTCTTAAAAAAAAAAGCCTAGGAGTTTCAGCTTGCCATGAGCTGTGACACCATGGCACTCTACTGAGGGTGACATAGTGAGACTGTCTCAAAAAAAAAAAAAGAAAATTCTTTTTAAAACATTAATTAATCCTCAGGTTTTCTTTCAGTGTTGTAATTACTTTCTTACCCTGATTCATTTGGTATTCATTTGTGACTCTTTTTTCTTTTTCTTTTTTTTTGAGACAGAGTCTTTCTTTGTCACCCTCAGTAGAGTGCTATAGTGTCATAGCTCACAGCAACCCCAAACTCTTGGGCTCAGGCAATTCTCTTACCTTTCTGCCTCAGCCTCCCAAGTAGCTGGAACTAGAGGTGCCCACTACAGTGCCCAGCTATTTTTAGAGAGGAGGTCTCGCTCTAGCTCAGGCTGGTCTTAAATTTGTGAGCTCAGGCAGAGTCTACCAGCCTCAGCCTCCCAGAGCGCTAGGATTACAAGTGTGAGCCACCATGTCCAGCTGTGACTCTTTTTCAATCAAGAGTTGACATGAGAAGGCCGTGCCCGTAGCTTAGTTTGCAGGATACTGGCCACATACACCTAGGGTGGCAGGTTCAAACCCAGCTTAAGCCTGCTAAGCAACAGTGACAACTGCAACCAAAAAATAGCCCGGCATTATGGCGGGCACCTGTAGTCCCAGCTACTTAAGGAGGCTGAGGCAAGAGAATTGCTTATGCTCAAGAGTTTGAGGTTGCTGTGAGCTGTGACACCATGACACTCTATCCAGGGTGACAGCTTGAGACTCTGTCTCAAAAAAAAAAAAGAAAAGAGTTAGCATGAGAAATATCCAAGAGCACTAAAATATATTAATATGCATATAAAATGTCATGAAGACTTTTTTAAAAATCTAGTACCTTGAAATTTTAGTAGATTGTTTGTGATAGTAAAATAGGAATAAGGTAATCAGAAGAAATTTTTTCCATGTTTTTTCATACTGTTACTGCTTCTCTGATGTACACTAAATTGGACTCTTGCATAATGTGGTCCAGAATTGTTTATCTGATGATAATTCTTAGAATCTGACAGCACAGTACTAGATAGGGGAATTGTAGGACAGATTTAAAGAAGACCAACCACTTCATTCCTATTTCCTATAGGAGAGTAGGTACCAATAATAGCAATAGTTTTCTGTCCTTTTAATTATTAACCACCAGTCTAAGTCTCTTTTTAAAAATCACTGAACTTGGCTTGGTGCCTGTAGCTCAGGTAGCTAAGGCGCCAGCCACATACACCTAACGTGGCGGGTTCGAGTCCAGCCAGGGCCCGCCAAACAACAATGACGGCTGCAACCAAAAAATAGGCAGGCGTTGTGGCGGGCACCTGTGGTCCCAGCTACTTGGGAGGCGGAGGCAGGAGACTCGCTTGAGCCCAGGAGCTGGAGGTTGTTGTGAGCTGTGAGGCCACAGCACTCTACCCAGGGGGACAGCTTGAAGCTGTCTCCAAAAAAATAATAAATCACTGAACTTATACTTTGGGAACTGGAAGGGATCTGTTTCTCCAGCCTCCCTCCTGTCAGCAATGAGAAGACCAAGTGCTGAAGAATTTAAGGGATTTGCCTGTGAACTGCCTCGTGTAATAGGCAGAAATAGAAGCCTTATCTGGATTCCTGATTGGGCTAAATCAATTGATTTTGCTGTCATCAAAACTTTGATTATGTTCCCAGTTACTACGAATAAACACAGTTAAGCCTATTCTGAATATACTTTCTCCTAATAAAACTGCCTTCCACGGTGCTTCAAAAGTAGTAATAAAAATTGGACAAATTTGTAGTGGGCATATACCAACTTGGTGACTTTGGCTTGTTCCCACCCCCACCACCATTTATTATCCATTAGGTAAATTAACATTTTAAATTTTCATTTGTTACTGTGACAAGGTAGCTCTGAGTTCCAGCTTTGTCTTTTACAAACTCAGTATTCTCACTCAAGGATTCAACCTCACCAGAACAGCTGTAATTAGAATCACAATGCAAATGATGGATACTTCATTATTATTATTATATGCCATTGTTTTTGTTGTTTCTGGCCATGTAGTATTCAAAAGTTGCTATTTATTTAATGAATGATGTTTTATGATTATAGATGTCTTTATTAAAAGCTCACAATCACTCATTTTCATTCTTAGTGTAATTCAAAACATACACAACTTAATGCTTGCCTGGTTATTTCTTTCTTTTTTTGTTTCTTTTTTTTTTT